CTGAGCCGCAGGTACCCCTTCCTGCAAGTGGAGAGTGGCTGTACTGCTTTCAGTGGTGACATGCATGTTGTGTCAGCTCTGAAGGCAGGCATGCAGCTCCATCCACTGCCCAGATGGCCTCAGCAATCAAGAATTGCTGTGAAGAAATGGATTTCTCCCTATCCTTCCACCACTACAGACACAGCTGCAGCTGCTCCCAGAGTCAACTATTCTAGAGCTAAGTATGGCTTTGGCCTCACTGGCGGTGTGTCCACCAAACAGGGCTTGCAGGAAATATGGAGCCTCTCCCTCCATCTATACAGAGCAGCAGTGTCCCTGCAATGTAGAGCAGGACAGCTGCACAGCCACGTGTCTGGGGCACAGGGTGGAGATTCTGCACAGGAAGGAGTCTGTCAGAGCATTCAAACCACAGCCTGGAGACAGATAGCAGTGCCTGTTCCACCAGAGTATCCCAGGTACCAGTATGAGTGTGACATGGAAGCAGATGTCCTGCCTGTCGAGGCTACGCAGCTTAGGAAGCCACACCTCAGCACATTTTACCAGGAGCTCCAGCCACCACTCCCTGGCCAGAGCAGGTGCTTTTTGTGCCTGCCTTTGGAGTATGCCAGAGAAGGCTTAGTGGCTCAGCCCACCCAGCTCTGTTTCCCCCTCAGAGGTTGACTAGGGAGTTCAGGCCACTGCACACCCACAGACCAGGCCATTGTTTGAAGCAACAAACAGCTTTTACTAGAAAACAAAGATCAAGCATATACCCATCTGCTTCTGCCCTAACTAGATCTTATCCATAAACAGCACCTATTGGCTAGAAGGTTGAGGTGCACAAAATACAAATCTGCTGATATAAGCACCCAGCACCACAGCCATATGCCCATGCAGGAGAAGGAAACTAGACCCATATCCCTCACCATTTACAAAATTTAACTCACAATGGATTTTAGGACTTAAATGTAAGATATGAAACTACAAAAATTCTAGAAAAAGAGAAAAAAAAAAGGACAATCTCTTCTAAACATCAGCCTAAACAAAGAATTTCTGACTTAGAGCTTAAAAGCAAATATAACGAAAACAAAAATAGATGAATGGGACCTAAACTACAAATCCTCTGCATAGCAAAGTAGATCATCAACAGAATAAATAGACAACTACAGAATGGGAGACAATGTCTACACAGTATGCATCTGACAAAAGACTAATGTCCAGAATCTACAAGGACTCAAACAACTCAGTGAGAAAAAAACAACCCCATTTAAAAAGTGGGCAATGGACATGAACATACATTTTTTAAAGGAAAACATACAAATGGCCAATAATATGTAAAAATTATCAGCATGACTAACCATCAGAGAAATGTAAATTAAAACCACTGGGCGATCCTGTCTTACACCAGTCAGAATAGCCATGAGTAAGAAGTCAGAAACTGTCGATGTTGGTGAGGATGAAGAGAAAAGAGAACACTTAGTCTCTGTTAGTGGGAATGTAAATTAATATGACTTCTTTGGAAAATAGCATGGGAATTTCTCAAAGAAGCAAAAGTAGAGCTACTATTTGATGCAGCAATCTCACAACTGGGTACCTACCTAAAGGAAATCAGATCAAAAAGAGACCTGCACTCATATGTTTATTGGGGCACTATGCACCATAGTAAAGATACAGAATCAACCTGAGTGTCCACCAACAGGTGACTATAAAAGGAAAATATGGTTATATATACAATGGAAACTATCCAGCTATAAATAAGAATGAAAGCTTTTCTGTTCCTGCAACATGGATAGAACCAGAGGCCATTGTCTTAAAAGAAATAACTCAGAATCAGAAAGTCAAATACTGAATCTTCTTACTTATAAATAGGAGCTAAATAATGACTGTATATGGACATGGAAAGTGAAACGGTATATTGGAGACTTAGAGGGTGGGAAGGCAGCTGCTTAGTGAGAAATTATGTAACTGGCATTACAGATAGTAATCAAGTGATGGCTACACTAAAAATCCCAGACTTTGCCTCTAGGAATATACCCATGTAACAAGCTACATATACACTCTGAATATTTAAAAATAAAAAAAAAAGATGTTGTTTTAATCCATGTCTACACAATAATATATGACAGTAACACAGGTTAGTTGCAATTAAATATAACAAACATTATTACATCATTGAAATTAATATTACAAGATTTGGCATAAAACAACCAAGAAATCATTGCCTAAATTTTGAGCTAAACTAATTAATTTTCTTTTCATTATGTGACATTTTTTTGTCTATTTTCCCCCCACTTCACTGAATCTAATACTACTAGCCTGTGAACTTCCCCAGAGAAAGGACCAATATAATTCCTCCCATTTACAGACATTAAGTCAATACTGATTAAATGAATGAGTGAACAATAAATTAGTTCTTGAATTTGAATATCTGTGAAATCCGTTCTGAATAGCACCATGTTTATAGCTGCTTATTACTGTAATATTTATTGAGTGTAATTAATTTTGCTTATAAAAGCTATTGATGTGTTGAAGTGCAATAAAAATAAAAATTAAGGAGGCTTCTGAAATCATTCAAACAATTCATTTTTTTCCTCAGAAATTGCTTTAGCTAAATGCCTTAACATAATGTAACTGCATTTTTAAAAAGCAAAAAGAAAAACAAAAAACCCCAATGTGTACATTTAAAAAGCAGCATTAATAGGAATATTAAGAGAGTTGTTAAGGCACAAGAAAAATAAAATCAATAAGAAGAAATAAAGGAAAAAATTAAAGGCAAAATACACGTTAATAGTTATATGAAAGCAATAATATAATATTTTAAAACATCTAAGATACACATATAATTAAAATTATATAAAAATATACCCAAACATAAGAAAAGGAAATAAAGTGTCCCAAATTTCTAATAATTTTCTGAAAGAGGGAAAAGTAATAAGTTGTGGTCAACATAAAGAACTGGGCCTACCACATTGATACATACATGTGGTGTGTGTCTGGTCTATGAAAATTAAGTCAACTTAAGGAGGTGGTCAATGTAGGGAGATTGTTAGCTATGGAGGTTCGACTGTACTTGGAAATATCTCCAGAGAATTCTTCTGACAAAACACACGCACATGCACACATGCACACACACACACACATGCACACACAACGGCCTGCGCATGCGTGCACTGACACACACACCAGTAGAACAAAACAGAGAACCCAGAAATAGATCCATGCATCTATAAATAGATCTAAATGATCTAAATAGATCATGCAGCTCCAACTCATCTTTAGCAAAGAGGCCAAGAACAGAGTAAGGGAAGGGCAGACCCTCGATAACTGGTGCAGGGAATGCTGGATAACTATGTTCAGAACAGTGAAACTAGACCCCCATCTCTCACCAGACATAAAAATCAACTCACAATGAATTAAAGGCTTAAATCTAAGACTTGAAACTATGAAACTACTAGAAAAAAAATGGAGAAATGCTCCAGGACATTGGTCTAGAGAAAGATCCCAATAGTACAGGCCATCAAAGAAACAAGTCACATGGCATTGCAACAGATTAAACAGGTTCTGCAAAGAAAAGGGAATAATCAATGAAGTTAAGAAACAACTCAAGCATTTGAGAAAATACTTACAGCCTATAAATTTCACAAAGGATTAATAAGCAGAATATATAAAGAGCTCAAACAATAGGGGAAAAAAGGCAAATAATCCAATTAAAAATGGACAAAAGAGGGCAGTGCCTGTGGCTCAAAAGGCGCCCGTCCCACATGCCAGAGGTGGTGGGTTGAAACCCAGCCCCGGCCAAAACCTGCCAAAGAAAAAGAAAAAAAGATGGGTAAAAGATCTGAACAAACAATATTCAAGAAAAACAGAAATGGCCAACAAATATATGAAAAAATGCTAATATCAGTAATTATCACTTAAATGCATACACAAACCTCAAGTCCGGTAATAACAGATACTGGTAAGGATGCATAGAAAGGGGGATCCTCAAACACTTTTGGGGAGATGTAAAACTACAGTCACTATGGAGAACAGTATGGTGATTCCTAAAAAAACTGAAAATAGAATTACCATAAGATCCAGAAATTCTACTACTGCGTATATATCCAAAAGAATGTGTCAAAAAAACACCTGCACTTCCATGTTTATGTAGCACTATTCACAGCAGCCTCTGTCATTTGCAGAAACATAGATAGATGGTCATTATGTTAAGTGAAATGTGTCCGGCTCAGAAAAACAACAGTCACACGTCCTCACTCATATGTGGGAGCTAAAAAAGTGAATCTCATGAAGATAGAGAGTAGACTGTTGGTTACCAGAGGCCAGGCAGGGTAGGTGGTAGGGGAGATGAAAAGAAGCTGATTCATGGGAACGAATTTGGAGTTCGATGGAAGAAACAAGACCTGTTGTTAGACACATCAGTACGGCAGCTAGGCCTAATTTATCATGATTTATTATACATTTAAAAATAACAAAAAAGAATTCTAATGGGTCTAGCATAAAGAAATAACAAATAATTTAGGTGATGGATGTCCCAAGTACTCTTATATTTTGTTAATATAAATATCATGATTTAGTTACAAATCATATTTTGTTTAAAATAACAAAAAAGAATTCTAATGGGTCTAGCATAAAGAAATAACAAATAATTTAGGTGATGGATGTCCCAAGTACTCTGATTTGATCTTTACAAATTACTTGGATGCATTAAATTATTATATGTGTCCCAAAACTATGTACATCTATTATGCATTAATAGAAAATTGAATTCAATAAGGTTGCATAGTGTAGAACTGCATTTACCCAATCATCTTGAGAAAATAATATACATAAATGAGGACGAGTTTGGCAGTTGTCAGAGATTAGGGATGTGGTGGGGAGGTGGGGAGGGGCGTGCCTGTGCGGTTACAGAGGGGCTACGGGAGGATCTACAACCACAGGCATGCTATGTTATGTTACAAGGTTGACCACAATGTCTCTGTTTTCAGTCAACAAATGGTCATCGGGTAGGAGCATGGACTCACCGGCTCAGATCCGTCCCGGGCACGTACTGAGAGAAGCGAGAGTGGAGCAGGGGGATGAGTCTGAGGTCGCACCACCGTTTTTCCCACCTCAAGCCTGGAGATGTCGGCCATGAGGAACACGATAATGTGTCCTGAAAATCAGGAGTAGAAACACTCAGAATCGGGTTTTTCCTTCTATGTTTTCAATTTCTGTGTCACAAACCCTCTTAAACTGAAAGAGATACTTTTTTCCTAAATGAACAAAAGGCTTATACATAGAATGTGATGAGAAACCTGTACTCTTGACACTGAATTTGTATTTGCTAACTCCTTTATTAATGGAATTTGGTGAGAAGCTAGAAATAGATTACTGTGATAAAGAATAATAGTGGAAATAGATTTTATAATAGGGTGGAGAGAAGGAGGGGAAGGATAAAAGTGTGACAGAACAAAATTCATTCAAGGATGGAAAAGGAACAAACTTGGAACTATAATGAGTCAAGGAGAAAAACAGAAACCAGCTCCAGTTCACTCATTTAGCCAACAGCTTTTGAGTGTGAAGTACCACTCGCTTGTAATTTATCACTTGCTCGCAGATATTTGTGAATAGAATGAACATGCCTATTAAAGAACTTTCAAAGCTGCTCAAGAAGCCTTCACTCCTTATCTGCATTTGATGTTTACGAGAAAGTTTTGCTTTCTTCAGGCCATGTCAAGCCAACTACTGCTGGTTTAAAATGACACATATTTTAAGGGGTCTTTTTTCTTAGAATTTTTTCCTCATACATAGAAAGGACTTATATTTGAATAAAATTTTGGTTTTTCACTTGACACTGAAGTTTACTATTTCAGTGTCACTGTTGCAATTTCTCTGTAGTACTAGAATATGGAATAATGTTAAGGTCTCAGTTGGCACAGGCTGTAAGTGCAGCAGGGCTCGGGGTGACTAGAGAATTCTTAATGCTATTTCCTTTTTATTCAATAATTTTTGAGAGATGGTATTAGAAGGAGGTTGGGGAGGTTCAATAGAGGGAGGGTTAATGGCGGGACCTCACCCATGGAGCATATTGCAAGGATACAAGTCAAATCTATCAAGTATAGAACACAAACGTCTTAACACTGTGATTAAGTAAATGAGGTGAAAACTGTTAATTAGTGGGATATAGGCACTCCAATTTGTACAAATAATCAACATATTTAATCCCACAAAGGCATAAATATATCCATGATCTATGTATATATGACTTAATAAAAGAAATCTAAATATTTAAACTATTAAACATTGTCGAACATTACTTTCAAATGTTAACATTTGTAAGTGCTCAGGAAGAAGAAACTATTATTTTCACTACAGGGCAATGTCCCTTGGCTTATGCATAATATGTTATTTGTCACAGATCATGGTGACAAAAATGTATTAGGTTTGTAGAGCAGTTTAGAACAATTGGAAGTGTGGACTGGCTGAGATTACTCAGTGAGGCCCCCTGTGGGTGACTTAATATGCCCATCAGCCTCCAGGTCACCAGTCCTTTGATGCCAGACAGTTGCTTTGCAGGCTCATCTGGTGGCTGCAGAAGTGCAAACCCAGATTTCCTGTGAGTCTCTCTCCTGGCCTCAGGTCAGTCCCTGCAGGTGGGTCAGTTCCTCCTGTCAGATGTTATAGGGGTCAGCGGGCAGTAGTCGACAGGGTGGTGAGGGCTCAAGTTACAAATCAGAATTAGACCAATTAGTTCTGAATCCCCATTTCCCAAATGACTAGTCCATTAACCTAGAAGCAAGTTACTGAAAGTCTCCATCCTACTATGCTGATCTTCAAAGGGGGGCTAATAATAGGAATGACTGATAAGAACACAGACAGAAGTGAATGAAGGAGTATTTAGACTATAGCCCAGTAAAGTAATTTCATAAAATTGTCAATATTTCTAAATGGAAATTTTACATCACATTATAACAGCAGCCTGATCAGAAGCACAGCTTTGTAGCTATCTGTAAATTAAAAAAATAGAAAATAATGTATTCTCAATAAGAATAGTAAGTTTGAGTAACAGAAAAAAATTACTTTAAAGATGAGACTTTAAAAAAAAAAAAAGATGAGATTTTGAGAAAGGACATTCTTATTCATACTAGCAGTAGTCCGTCATCACATACTGCGGCTGCTACTGGTGAGTATTAATAACACTCCCCTATCCTAAGTGCTTTGAATGTAACTTCTTTGAAGGACTATTGCTATGTTCATCTTACAGAGGAGAAACAGAAGGCTTTTTAAGTATTTTTTTTTTTTTGAAGTTTTGGCCTGGGGCCAGGCTTGAACCTGCCACCCCCAGTATATGGGGCTAGCACCCTACTCTTTGAGCCACAGGTGCCACCTGGCTTTTAAAGCATTTTTATTATTGCTTTCATACCCTTTTTTCTTTTTTTCATGACAGCACATGAGTAGACTCAGGTAAACAGACCAGAATTCTAGGGCTAGGCCAGAGCTGAGCAAAGGGACAGAAAGTGACCCAAGTCCCACTAAGCTACCCTGTAAAGGGCCCATATTGGCTTGGGACTAAAACCCCCTCCCAGGACTCCAAACCATACACAGTACTGAGCTGCACAATAGATAATGTTTAGCCACTGAACGCCAGCACCAAGATGGATGCAGAAGGATACCTCTCGATCCCAGAGTCAACATGTCTACCTCAGCAAAGCATTTAACTCTCCTAATCAGAGGTGAGACAATGGAAAGAATAATTTAGAGTTTTTTGTACTTGATTATTTCACACTTATATTATATAATTTTAGGCATATTATTTAAATATGATTCCCCATCTTTCATGAAACAATAGAAATAGGGCCAGCACCTGTGGGTCAAAGGAGTAGGGCGCTGGCCCCATATGCCAGAGGTGGCAGGTTCAAACCCAGCCCCAGTCAAAAACTGCAAAAAAAAGAGAAACATTAGAAATAACTCTTCTCGCATATTATGGTCCATGAATGAATGGGATAGAAAATGTAGAATATAAGAAAAGACACAGGCCATGAAATATTGAGGATGTGATAACCACCAGGAGGTGAGTGTAACTTTCAAAAATCTTATTGACAGACTTCACAGGTTGGCAGATTTGAAAGGCATGTGGCCTTGTATGTGACTTTGTGGTAGCATTTTGACTCCATGCCTTTCTGTAGGAAAGTTATAAATACATCACTTTCTTTTATGTTTCTTTCTTACAAGAAATATGAAATAAGCGCTACCTTAGTTATTTCTTTATTTTTATTTTTTCAGAGACAGAACCTCAAGCTGTCCCCCTGGGTTGAGTGCCATGGCATCATAGCTCACAGCAACCTCCAACTCCTGGGCTCAAGCAAGTCTCCTGTCTCAGCCTCCCGAGTAGCTGGGACCACAGGCGCCCACCACAACACCCGGTTATATATATATATTTTTTTTTTGGTTGCAGCCGTCATTGTTGTTTGGCAGGCCTTGGCTGGATTCGAACCCGTCACCTTGGGTGTATGTGGCTGGCACCTTAGCCACTTGAGCCACAGGCACCGAGCCTCTTAGTTATATTTGACTATAGGTTTGATGTATTTCAAATAACAGGCCTGTAATTTACAGTGAAATATGTAGTAGTATTTAAGTAGTTTTCACTGTTACTTATTTCATTATGTAAACATAATTTAAATTTGGTTTTTAATCTTTTTATTGGAATAGTAGAACTATTTTGAATTGTATAAAAGTAACAAAAAAAACAAAGCCATTTTTAGGGCATCATGAATATTTTTCAATAGTTTTACTCTATAATTTTAAGAAAGTAGCTTCCAAAATATTAATGAGAATGGACAAAGTATCATTTGCAAATACTTTGCTTTAAAATAGACTCTTTTCCCAAAACTCAACATGTGACACACAATAATCTCAAGCACAATTATTTTACCAAAGTGTAATTGCCACAGGGCAGAATGCTGATCCAGATTTTGTTAAGGACTTGGCATAGAAAACATTTGTTAAAGGTGTACAGTATGAAAAATGTTTCTCAGAGCCAGGTTAACTGATTACCTGAATCAAAGTCTTCTGCTCAAATTCCTTTTCTCCATCTTTAGAGAGGAGAAATTCAGTGGGTCTCAGCTGAGACTCAGATCATTTCTAGGCTAGGAAAAGAGGTAACACTGCATACTCTAAAATTGCTGATTTTATGTCCTTAGAGGGACTAGGTTATATTTTTATGCAAAATAGTGGAGAGATATTAATATATTATAGGCCTTTATTTTTTCTTATGTATGGGATGCTGCCCTAAATCATAGTAAGGATATTTCAGAAAACTAAAATAGTATCCATTTACTCAAAATTTTCTTCAAAGCCAGACATAGGAAATAAAAAGAGATTTCCTAAAGCTAGAACAGAACCTAGGATTTGCATACATCAGAGAATCATATGTTTCTCTTCAAGGAGACTGAGTGCCTGGACTCTGCAAAGATTCTATAGCAAATGCGCGTCCTCCTTCCACAGCCCACTGTCCATTGTCACTCCATGAGGGGACAGAAGACTTGTCTTTGAATTCTCCAAATTTTGTAAACTTCTCTACTCCTACATCAAAGCTTATTCAAAATAGAGCAGAGTAACTACAGGAGAAGGCTGTGCGAGTCTGCATGACCAGACTCTGATGGGAGATCAGAGCCCTTCATGGACATAGGAGCACACGCTCCTTGGACATCTCTCAGACTCTGCTGGGTTCAGTCTGGGCACATCTCCAGAGTCCCCACAGCTCTGGCCTGCTGCTGGGATGCTGCTGGCCTGGGCTTTTCTTCCTGCTTATATTATAGTTAATTGTCTGCATCTTCCTACACATCTGCATATTTAAACTTGTTGGATCATGGACCAGAACTAACTCCTTTCCAAAGTACCCAGAAGAGTATTCCACAGAGTAGCTTCTCAACAACAATGTATTTGGTCCATATGCACTGAATTTTTAAATTTATTTTGAATTTACTTTGCCTGATTTACATATGCTTTGATTTACAAGCTCTAAAACATTGTGATAAACCCCTTTAATTTGCTTACACCAAAATATCCTCAGCAACATCAAAAGTGTGTTCAATTCCCATGCTAAATATGGAAATAAAATGTGCATCTTGGAAATGAAAAGACTAGCTGCAGTATGACAGAGTTCTGACAATTTGTTTTTTGAATTTTATACAACTAGATTTATTTGGAGCAGTCATATTAGAGAATTACTGAGTGGTTTTCCTGCTCTAATTATAGCTTTCCAAAGGAAGACATCATTCCATAAATGTCAGTAGAATGAGTTAAAAACAAACCAGAATGATTCCTGCCCTGAGACCTCCTACCCTGATGTCTCATTATTGCAGAGAGTAGAACAACCACAACATCACCAAACAGCTTTCTCCCATCTGAATTCTGGTAGCTTTTATTTTTGCCTTGGTAGAAGAGCTAGACAGAGATCCTTGTATGCATGACATGCACAAGGGACATCCTTGGGAGAAACCTGTGAGGCCTGAATGAAGCAGGAGATATGGGGCTACAACGTGGCAAAGGTGTGGGTGCCTCAGAGGAGACCTCCATCTCCTCTGCAGTGCCGGGGGAGCCTGCCTCTGGTCTACTACTGAGGCACACATGAAGCGGGGAAAGGAAGTTCTAACTTCCAAGCAAAGGGATCCTACTGAGAGTGGAGAGCTGTGAATGGGGACAGCCAACACTCACAGCAGGTGGGGACAGGTGGCCGAGTGTGGTGAAGGGATGAGGACAGCATCAAAGTAACAAAAACATCTGGATGGGAAGGCAAGAGGCAGGCAGAGCAATCGCAAAAGCAAGAGGTAAGAAGTCTATGGAACGAGAAGGCAGCTGATGGGAGCGTATGTGTGTGTGTGTATACAGATTCATTTTCTCAGTAAGAAATCAATATTTTGAAAACCCCACACTGTACCCCAGAAGTGCATTAATGTACATAGTTACCATTCAATTAAAAAAAAAAGAAATCAATATTTTATGTCACTCAGATCTTGCCATTTTCTGAAGATCAGTATTTTTAAAGTTATATATTGTGTCACCAATTATTTAGCTGATAAGATGAATTTAAAAGGCCAGATGTGGTTGGTTTTAGAAAAGATTCTTACATTTATAGAGATAACCTTTGGTCTTCCCAAGTGTTCCTTTTTATAAGGACAAAAAAAAAAAAAAAGGAGGGGGCAGAAAATGTGAAGCCCTAAGGCATTTAGCTAAGTGATAACACTGGGGCCATTAGGTACAATGAAGGGCACTCAGGCCTGAAGATGTTCAAATGGAGTAGTCCATGCAAAGTGCCACAATTCTGAGGAGAATTTCAAATGCAGGATGAATCCTACAAGTCCGAAGAAAAAGCTATGTAAGTTCTGTATCCTAATAGGTGTTTGAAAAAGTAAAATAAATAAAATTCTATTCAAGGTCAGCTCTGCTACTCTGTGTTTGTAAGCACAGAAGATATAAGTTGGATCTACTTTTACTCAATGAGAATTATTTTGTCTTTAGAATGTGTGAATATTTTGAGGGGTGAAATATAAGAAACTTCAGAAATTTTTATAATAGCATAAAACCAGTTAGTCCACATAGAAAATAGAACTTAAAATTGCATTAAATGTCTGCAAAACAAACATGTTAATTTTACCTCTTATTAATACATGCACATTTAAAATCCATTACAGTTGAACATAATGTATAGATGAGATTTCTCACTTTGAAATAATTCTGTATTATGCATAAAGACTCTAAGAAATCCTAACAAATAGCAAATTAAATAGCTACTTTTAGCTAAGTAATTTCCAAAGAGAAATGATGCTGAAGCATTTAGAGCATGAAATCACACATAATATGCAATGTTCTAAAAGAGTGTATGATGTTACCCATGACCTCTCCGAGTTAACAGTATCCGTAGCTTACAAAGAACTGACTATATAAGACCCAGGAGCATCGAAATGGAATAAAAAATAATCAACCTACTTATTTTCCCTTCCTATCTCATTATTATAATTAAATTATGAAGAAACCACAGATTTCATATCTATCGGATAAATCAGATTCATCGCAGCTTTTGCAAACTATAAACAAACATAATTTATCTTCGTGTTTATACATATGTGTTATGTCTAGCCTTCTTGAGTTTCCTCCGTGTTATCTCCTTATTTATCTGAGCTGTGTCTGGGTGATCTTACTGTATTGTTGGGGTGGTAGTTGAGGTGCAAGCCACTGTCACAGAGAGGAGAGGAGGTGCCGCTGCTCTGGTCGCTGGGAGCACCTGCAGGAGACAAAGTTACAAAGTCACAGTGTTCAGAACGCTGTGCTACTGCAGACTGATGCGTACATGTTAAATTTTTATGTTGACTCAATAATATCAAGTAAATTAGGTACTAAAGTAAAATTTTATTTTATTATACTCAAAATTCCGAGCATCGCAAGTAAGCCAAGTGACTATAAGTATTAGGGCACTGAAAGAGACTCAGAGACATTTACTTTTGATTTCAAAGACACTAAGGCATTATTAAGGAAAGCATGCAATCTTATAAAAAGTATTATTTTGTTTCCTTATCCATGGTGGCCTATACTGATAGACCATACCTATAATAGTGCAATGTTTCCTTTGTCTTCAAGGCTCTACTTAATATTATACTTTAATCTACTCACAAATTCTGTCTTTAGAAAGCATAATTTTCTGTGATGCAAAATTGTGTGTGTGCTCTGTCTTTATGAGTGCACTGGTATGTCTTTAAGATCTCATTGAAGCTATCTTTGTGAAGGTGCAATGATAAAATTGCACCCCATGAGAAACCCCCCATATTTGAACCCTATGAGAAAATGACTACTGTCTATCTTAAAGCTTTTTAATTTTCCCTGATTTCACAATTTAGTAAGTATTAAAGTCAGAATTAGCTACTTTGTCTTTTAAACATTACCTATACTTCTCTTTTGTGACACAATATGTTTATTATATGAGTACATGCTTGTTTCAAGTATGTCCATATTGAAATGAACAAAATGAAAACATAACTTGTCAATTTCTGTGAATGAATCTTAGTCACTTGAGGGAAATTTAAGCACTTAAATGTAAACATGAAAAGAAAGTAGGAGTAAACTTAATGACCAATGCGTGCACCTTAAGAAGTTAGAAATGGAAGAGCAAATTAAACTAAACTAAATAGAAGACAGATGGCAATAGATAAAGTAGAAGAAAATGAATTATAAAACATAAAATAACAGGAAAATTAACTGAGACAAACATGAGATCTCTGGAAGGATTAATAAAATAATTAAACTCATACCAAAAATAATCTAGAGAAAAGACAAATAAAATATATCAGGGATGAAAGAGAAAGTTAACATATTAAAAAATAGTAAAAATGAAGAATAAAAACATTATGCAAAGTAAAAACTTAGTTGAAATTGACAAATACCTTAAAAAAACTAACTGAAACTTAAAAGAAAAAAGAGACTATCAAAAGAATCTCATATTCATCCATACATTAAATTCACACAAAAGAAAAATTATGATTCTAGGCTCAAATTATGTCTCTGGAAATTTATTCAACATTTAAGAAAGAAATATTATCATTGTTAAATAAATTCTCTCAGGAAATAGGAATTACTACTGCACTGTTGTATGAAAACATAAACTGATTACCAAAACTTTATTAAAAATTATGAGAAAGGTAAAAAATAACATCCCTCATGAACATGGACAAGGAGAAAATAAATCTTAATATATTAACAGATTGAATCTAGCAATAAAAAAAAATCACTTTTAACTAAGTGCTGTTTACTGTAGGACAGAAGTTTGGTTTGGTTTGATATTCAAAATCAACTTTCAAAAATTTGCCATTTTTTTCTATAGACCAAAAAAAGAAAAAAGACAAATATATATAATATTTCAATGTATCAAAAAAAAAAGAAATTCAACAACTTACGTTAATGAAACAAAAAGAAAAAAATTCAGTCTTCTATGACTACAGTAGAAATAGAGTCTACTTCCTCTACCTGATAAAGAGAATCAATGAATGCCTGCAGCTGATATCCTAATTAATTATAAAAGACCAACTTCTCCCCTCCCCTTAATATCAGGAGCAAGAAAAGGATATCTACTCTAAATACTTTATTTGATATAATGGGGAGGTCCTCACTATTTCAATGGAAAAAAATACTTTATTTGATATAATGTGGAGGTCCTCACTATTTCAATGGAAAAAAGTCTAATAAAAGAAATTAAGGAAACAGATTACAAACGAAGAAACAAAATTTATTATTTCCAGATGATGTCATTGTATATGTACAAAAGTTAAAGAATACACAAAAATCCTACTAGAATTAATAAGAAAAACTATATTGGGGCATGTCAGTATATAAAAATAAATTTTATTTTTACATGTGGCATTTATAATAAACTAAAAAATATAAATTACATGGAAACAAATTTAATAAAAAATATACAATATATAATAAAAAAAATACAATATAATTCCACATTGAAAAACACTAAAATGAAGGAGCTTTTCATGAAGGAGCAAAGAAAGCAGTTTCTGCTGATGGCATATACTCCTAGTAAAAACGCTGCAAACATCTTTGAAATGACAACAAAGATGCGGAATATTACATACAACTAGTGTGTAAAGACGCAGCAGGGTTTACAAGATTGTCTCCAATTTTGAAAGAAGTTCTACTGTGGGTAAATACTATCAAATGGCATCACATGTTTTACAGAAACCTGTCATGAAAGGAAAAGTCAGTAGACATGACAAACTTCATTGTCTTATTTTTTTCCTTTTTCCTTCTTTTTAAAATTTTTTTTCTCTACTAATTTGGGGTTTAGTTTGCCCTTGGTTTTCTAGTTCTTTAAGATATATTATCAGGTTAATTGAAGCTTTTCAATTTTTTTAAGTAGGCAATTATTGTTATAAACTTTTCTCCTCTTGGTACTGCTTCTGCTGTATGTCATAGGATTTGGCATGCTGTATTTTCATTTTTATTTGTTTCAAGAAATTTTTAAATTTTCTTCTTTATCTCTTCATTGACCAACTTGTCATGCAGAAGCATAGTGTTTAATTTCCATGTGTTTGTATAGTTTTCGGTGTTCATCTTATTGCTCATTTCTAATTTCATCCCTCTGTGGTCAGAGAAAATACTTTATTGTTTTATTTTTAAAAATCACCCCAGCCACGTTAACATTCAATACAACCCTAATCAGTAAGCAACCACCAACACCAGAGCAAAAGACGCTTCCTTTAGCTGCTAAGGTATGACTCATTCAAGTCTCTGATGGTCATTAGCATTTATAAGCAATATAATATTGTTAAATTAAGGTATGTACAGCAGCATTTTATTGATACAATGCTATTAACATTTAATAGACTACAGCATAGTGTAAACATAACTTTTATATGGGCTAAGAAACAAAAACATTTCTGGGACTTGCTTTATTGTGATACTCACTTTATTATAGTATTCTAGAATTGAACTCGCAAAATTTTCTGGGTATGCCTTGTATATATTATCTACCAGAGACTCTAGATTCAAGGACCCACAGAGGCTGAAACTGAAATGACTGTGCAATATAATTCATGCAAATGGTAACTAAAAGAGAGTAGGGTGGCCATTCTTATTCCCAAAAAAGACAAAATAATCTTTAAATAAAATCAGTCACAAGAGACAAAGGAGGACATTATATAATGGAAAAAGAGTCAATTCACGAAGAAGATATGCCAATTATAAAAATATATCTACCTAATAGCAGAGTACCCAAATACATGTATATGAAGGAAACATTGACAGAATTAAAGGTAGAGACACATGAGACAATAATAGTTTGATATTTAAGTACTCAACTTCCAATAATTTATAGAACATCTAGACAGAAAAAACTTAAAGGAACAAAGTACTTGGACTACATTATAGACCAATTTGGCTTAAAACATACAGAAATACAGCACCCTCCACCCCCAAGTAACAAAATATACCTCTCATGTGCATGAGAAACATCCTCCCTAATAGCTCATATGTTAAGTCACAAAATAAATTTTTAAAAATTTTAAAATATGGAAATATTATATATAACTTTTCTAATAAAATGGAATAAAACTGGAATTCAATAGCAGAAAGACAACTGGAAAATTCAAAAATATGTGGAAAGTAAACAAGACACTTTTAAATAATCAATAAGTCAAAGAAAAAAATCACAACAAAATTTTTAAAAATCTTGAGATTTTTCAAGATGGTTGACTAGAAATATCAAATACCAGTTCTTCTTAGAAAGAAGATTGAAAGTTATAAGGTAATAATTATCACCTGAGTGGAATACTAAGGGAAGAATGCTAGAATCCAGCAGAAAATCTGGAAGCAGCAGCTCAGGCATAGGAAAAAAACAAAAAACCAGACAAGGACAACAAAAACACAAGAGTTTGGTAGAGATTGAACCCCAAGAAGCTTGAAGTATTGTGGAAAAATAGATGAAGGTGATCTTTGCTCCACTCACCCCTGAAGCAGAATTCTGGCTTCCAAACTGTTGGAGACTCCTCCAGATAAACCCAAATAGTCCTGTGGGCAGTGATTTTGGTACTTCTGGAGGGCAGAGCTGCCAGCATGCACCAGCTCACTCTCCATCCCCTCAGGTCTGAGCTGAGATAGCAAATGTTACATATTTCATGCACTCTCTGTGGCCTTCTGTTTTGCCCAGGGAGTTTTAGCCTTTGTGTGGCCTCATCACTTGCCTCTAAACATTTCCAAGCAACTGCCTGGCCTGCAGCAACCTCCAGGGTTTTCAATACCCAGTGCAGCAGAGAACGCTTTGAATTCTAACCTGCAAAGTGGGCTGCCCCTGGAGGAAGGCAAAGTCAGTGCTAAAGTGCCCCTTGGAACAAAGGATACCAGAGCATTCTCATTCTTCTGCCAAGAACTCCCCAGTTGTGAGCTAAATGTGGCTGTGCCCTGTCCCAGTGGAGATGCAGGCAATGCACTGAGTTCTGCAGTGGAGGACTGGGGTTCTGCCCCAGTGACCAGGCAGCACCAGCACCTGGGAATTGATGTGTAGCGGGGAGACACATCCTCTTGCCCCACTCACTGCTGTCCATATAGCTATAGCTGTTCCCATGGGAGGGGGCACATGGTAGGACAGCAAATCCTGGGTTATTAGGGACAGATGAACCCCCATTGATAGTGTGCCCACCACTCACAGGCTTATTTGAAAGTCAGGACTCATCCCACTGCCTACAAGGAATGGCAGAAAAATACAAATGACCCACAAAACTCTGTTTT